GAATGTTGCGCAGTGCCGGATTGCCCCAAGCTTCTTGCCAAGTTTGTAGGATGGTTCAGAAGCTCTTTCTCGTAGGGTTTAAAATGGAAGGTGCAGGCTGGTTGTGTCTTAGATTGTGGGGTTTTTGGGGCTTTGCAGGATCCTGGGCATTCATCCGCGCAGGATCTCTAGACTCTAGCTTTGCAGTTGCCAGCTTTGTTGAGATGGGTTCAATACGCAGGTGCGCTTCCCCTTGCAAGCATCAAGTCGTCACATTCCTCGTCCCGAAGCCTTATTCAAAATATTCAGAGGCCATACATATGATTTTACGTCCCAAGTGTCCTGTGATCATATAGCCTGGGATGAACCAGAAGGCTGCTCACGAATTCATAAAAGAAATCCAGGTTCTGCCTCTTTTCGACCCCGGCATGTTTCATGGCGTAGTGACCAGACCCAGACATTGATGTACCATGGCAGGAAACTCTTTAGCCGAAGGTCCTTTGTCAAGTGCTGCTGGGAATATATAGCTGCAACATCTCATGCAGCCTCCATGTGAATTCACTTCGGTTTTCCAAGCGCGTTGCTCGTGATGAGCGGCATGTCTGTTGGACATCTGTTTGCCCTGCATACGTAACAGCCGGGCGGGAGAGAAAACCATGTTTCAAAGACAGTGTAAGATCCAAGAGAATGCCACATGATGGGGTCATGGACTTAGGCCCTGGAGGCGCAGTCGAGCCTTGGCCTTGAGCGCTTTGCTGCGCAATGTCCGATATGCTCATGGTATAGTAATAATAGATAAGAGTAACAACAGCAAAAAAAATCTAATAACAGTAGTAAAATATGACGACTCAAGTAGCACTAGCAACAGCATCACTCAGCAGAAGCGCTGGCAGTAGTCCTGAGACTGCTATGACTTGAACATCTCATTCGTAGTGCATGGTCAGGAGACACTGACAGCCTTTGTACTCCATTTTGAAGTTTCTGAGGCCCCTGTGCTGGGACAGGCACCTTTGCTTCTGGTTGGCAACACGCAAGCAGAAGTCCCGTTTCTTGTGCGCAGCAGGGTGCTGTAAAAACCTGAGCTCGCAAATGCCACGATTCCGCCAGAGCCTTCCTTCCGTACATAAAGCGGGGCGCCAGCTTAATCCGCAGTTTTGTTGCCACGTAGGGACTGTTGCAGTGACACCAGTGCTGGACCATAAGATGTTCCTGACATGCCCGTGCCCACCTCAGCAGTAAGTAAGGTACACTAGTCAGTTTTCAAGTGTTAAGAATTTCTGGATTGCATACCAAGACCCTCTCTCTCAGCTGACTGCCCAGCTCAAACGATCCGAAGCTTGAGCCCCTGATGCTAGCAAGGAAGATACAACAAGAATGATCGTGAAAATGACAACGATGGGGGTCCTTTCTGTGACCATGATAGAATCAGAAGCACATGAGGCTACTACAAGAAGTCATGGTGTCAACAGGAGCACTAGCAATGAAGCCAATCAGTGTTGCTGGCAGGTGTGTGAGGCTCGATGGGGTCCTATACCTGCCTGCCCGCCAGAGGTGCCTGGAGGGAGGAAGAAAAGTACAAGCCACGGACTTCTCGTTTTGATCTCCACTACACCACTACTCATGGTCACAGTTGAACTCTCATAACTTCATCAGCTACGTCTTCGGAAGGTCATGCGCGAGGCCGCAAGGATCGCAGCAACGAAAGCGGCACAGTTCGGCCTAAGCCTGCGGCCCAGCTTGACAGTGTTTAACCCAGTCGAACCTGTAGTTCATTTCATCCCAGACTTACTGTTCCATGTGCTCTTAGTGCAAAGTTGAGGCAGTCGACTCTTGCGCTTGGGAAGTACGGACAGCACAGCAGGGGACTAAGTCTGAATGAGTTGTCAGTTTCATATACCGTGGCAGTTTGCCAGAAATCTGAGCCAGGGAAGTGATGTCAGCACGAACGCCAGCACCCACGACAGCCGAAGCCTTTGTTTGGAGAAACTTAAAGCTGGCAGTCGGAGAATGTGCTGACAAATGTTGCAGCGGTATTGAAATATATTGAAGCGGAGCTTGCCTACTGCTGCAGAACGCCTGCGTTTTGCCCAGGCATCAGCGAGAGCAGCGAGCTGGATGCGCAAGTTATGCAGGGGTTCCAACTGCATTTGACTCGCAGCTTGTGCATCTCTTGGGCAGACCTAAAAGAGCTTTCGTAGGGGATCGTAATGGCAGGGGCCACCACACGCTGACCGTGGAACAGCAGAGTTGCTTCGTTGCAATGCTGCCATCCCTGTGCTAAGGCTGGTGACTGCCTCAGGCGATAAAGGAAACCTGCGGCCGCCTGACCCCCGGTGAACATCTTGCGGTCAATGCTCTTGCTGGCTGATATCATATTTGTCACCCTTGTTTGTGTTTGCATTGCAGGATTCCTCGTATTTAGTTATGCACTCTTGGTGGCGCAGGGCATACATGGGTTGAGCGAGAAGACACCTATCTGCCCATATCTGCCCGACACATTGCGACACTGTTTACAGTTAAGAATGAGAAGCAAGGCAGCCACAGGCGACCTCGGTACAGAAACCCTAATACGTTTACCTTTGAACCCTACGCGCGTCTGCAATCAAGCTGGGGATCTTAAGGTTTGTGCCCATGTCCATCAGTGGAGATCCCTGCAAGGTGGAGGTTCGGATGGCTTGCGTTCCACGTTCCATCTCCATATTGCATCCTCAAGATATGTTGCACCCTGCTGGCTGGGCGCCTCTGATCACCGAGATTTTGCAAAAGTTGGCAGAGATCGACTTCGATTTCCTTGTAGCGAGTTTTGGTCCAAGGTTGGCGGCAACATGCGGCAACAGAGTACAATTGAAAACATCCGCAGATTCGACCCTACGTGCTCCGCCGAAGACCACGCATTCCACTTGCTTGGTCAATACGAGTGAAAGCAACAGTAGCAGAGGGACATGGCCTTCCATTTGTAGGCAGACTACTCGAAGCTTCGCAGCAACAAGCTGCCATGGCCGAAGTGGTGATTGGCCGGCCAGTTGTGCCAGAAGATGCGCCACCAGTTTCAGGAGCTTCGCATGGCTAATGGCTAGGGCAAGCAGTCATTGCTAGACTAGAAGAGAGCTACACATGCAACAATCCCTGCAGGCAGATCTGCGTCCAGTACGCAGAATGCCTGTTGCCCAGTATCAACCACACGAAATGCAAATCAGCTTGTGTATGTGGCAGCTTGCAGCCCTGAATCGGGCACAACGTTGAGCTGAAAGGCAGGCAAAATGGCCTGCCGTTTGCCTTTTCATTTGTGCTTCGAGGTGACGCGCGCTTCACATGCTCAGTTGCAGCTGCCCTCTTGGTTGCAAGGCGGGATGGGATCAAGAGCTGCGCATGCAATGTCAGTGTGTTAGTTTGACTATGCTGCAAACAGAGTGTTTGACGGACTTGATCAGGCGCGAGATCAGCACCAACTCGTGGCAGCTCGCGTGAGTCATGGGCTGCTTGGGCAGTGACACATCCTCCCCGCAGAAGACCCCCTCGATGTGTGAACCGTACTTCATTTCTACCTCTGATTGGAGTCATTGCGTCCTTCCAGTTACCCATCGTTTGGTCAGTTCATTCCCTCGGTGAAACCAGGCACCACGATCGATGCCGTCCCTTTTCGACAAGCCCATGCTGTGCATGGACAAGATCCTCCTCTTCGTCGGGGCTGGGCTCAGTTCTTTGTTGTTTGCCGTTCACAACATGCTGTCAAGCCCGTGCCTGAGACGCAACAGGACACATGATTTTGGGAGCTTTGTTGTGTGAATTCGACATGTAACCACGTAAAGACACTCGGCTTGTGGGTCTACAGGTGGGACTTGATCTACGTGGCGGCTGGATGTCTGCTGCTGCCAGCCGCTTCCCATCCAGATGTGAGACACTAGTAGATTTGTGATTCCATATGTTTGTGCAGCATAGTATCCGGCCATGTAGAGCACACATGCATGCAATTTCTGCCTTCATGACTGCAAAGCTTGTGAGTACACAGCTCCCTGTGATGTTCTGACGGATTTGGTGCGAAGCCGAAGGACAGCCAAAAGCTCAGGTCACGCTCTTCTTCATTATCAGGAGGAAGGCTGTCGCAAGGGCCCAGCCGCGAGATGACACCCACAAGGCCTAGAAGAGCCTTTGATATCCTTGCATTTATTCCACAACTCCATGCAACTCTTTCTCGCAGCTTTGCACTCAGGGCGAGGTCAAGATTTTGAGCACCGGAAACAAGCCTTAGCACATAACGAACCCCACGAGGTGTACAGGAGGTGGGCCCGCATGACCTATGGAGATGATGTGGGTCCGACACTGGTGGCTTTGCAGCACGAAGTTTTGTTGCTCCTGCCATCTCCTGCCTTCATTGACGCCGTAGCTTGCATGAGCCACGGGGCATGGAACATCGTCTAGGAGCTTTTTGAGAAAATTTGACGTTGAAAGCTGTTGCAAGATTAGCTGGCCATGCAGCATAAGCCAATAGATGTTGTGTGCAAGGAAACGGGAGGGTCTTCATTGGCGGAACACCTTCATGTCGACAAAAGCATAAGTGGACCTCACACACCCCTAACACCAGAATGTCTTAATGATGCATGACGCATAGACACTCTCATTGCAAAAGCACACGCAAGCCGTTGGCGGAGGAGCTCCAGCGCTTCAAGATTGAGGGTGCCCGGGGCGGCAAGGCCAGGCTCTGGACAAACTAAAGTTTCATTGTAGGGTTATATAGGGATAATGGAAAATAAAATGGAAACTACTGCGGCATATTGGGGTTATATCCCCTACTCTGGCGGTGTAGTGTTTTGTTTTCTGAGGTTTGTGCTGGCATGATTACCCGGTTTTTCTTGTCATGATCGTTGTTTTCGCGCTGCCCGTAACCTGTGCATTGTCCATATTCCGAGTGTATTTGCTGCTGTAACATGCCAGATTATTGCTGCCACACTGCCAGATAGCATGGTAGATCTCCAACAATTTCATGCTTTGACCCCTTATCCCAAGTACCCCTGCGGACCAAGGCCCAGCTGGAGCACTTGGGGCCCGCCGGGGCCTGCGCGGCCAGTGCTGGACTGGCAGATGCCAGCTGTGTGTGCTGTCTTGCGGCGGCTTGGTAGTATGAGAGGATCTTGCGGGTTTCACAAAATTAGGGTACTTTTTTGGTGTCTACATTAAATTATGAATACGAAACTGTAGCATTTTGGGGTGTATGTTGGGGTCCCCTCCCCATATTTGGGGAAACTACCGCATGAGAGGAACTTGAGATAGAGATGCTCCCACTATACGGCTTTTCGGATGCCATGGCTTTGGTATGTTTACCTATATGCAAGGCCGAAAGGTGATGAAAGAAGCGGATCTTTAGTGCCCGCACGAGGATGAGACAGTCAAAGAGCTGAGGATTTCGAGGAGGGCGACAAGCTGTCAGTCCTCCCTTGTGGGCATATGTTCTGCGAGGTGGGCAATGCGTAAGGGTGTCAGCCTGATGAGTGCATGTGCTCAGAATGCCCCCTAAGCTCTTGAGCACAGCTCACAAATTGCAAAGCTTAGTTGCCTTAGCTGGCATCAGCCCATACAGCAAAGTCCAACGACTTCCAGCTCACCTGACCGATCATCGTCCTTGTATGAGGAAAGCTAGGCATTGTGACTTGGCCTTGGTGTACCGTGCCCGACAGAATATATGATCTGAACGGGCTTTATTCAGATCTTGCTAGGCCCGCTTATCCTGAACATCCACCGGAAAGTCCTGCTCAGTGAAGATAAGTTGGGCCTTGGCTCCTGTCTGCAAACCCCTACTACCCGCCCTGCCCTGGTTGAGTCTTTGCTAGCAAAGGCACGCCCACAGAGCAAATTGTTTCATTATGACGTCTTCAGCCAAGAACCCCAAAGCAGACGACAATTTTGGGCAGGTGGATTCACGGACAGAAAATATTCACTTGCCAAGACCAAGCGCGCTGCTTCATGTGTTTTATGGAAGCACTGTTGAGCCTTACTCTGGACGCATAATCCGCTCCCCTAATCCTTCTCGAGCATTATTCATTGACATGGAGGGAATCCTGTTCTTCTGGGGTGGCAGAGTTGGGAGGCCTGCATTGTGAACTGGGCCTTCTCCGGGCGCGCCGCTTCACGGCACTGCCCAGTGTGCCGAGCCGAAGCAAGCCAGCATATGAGGGTTCCCTAAGATTTGGGCAGCTTTACATGAATTTTGGGGGGCTCTTATTTGAGAAATGAGATCGTATTTTGGTGTCTATTTTGGGGTTAATTTAGGATACATCGGCTCAACCCAGGACTTCCGAGCCAGACGCACAGAACCTGCATAGACATGAGTCAGCCAATGGCAGGAGGTGTACAGTCTGACAGTCTTGCTATTCGGCCTGCAGTTGCTGGAAGTTTTAGTGGATAGCTGTGTTTGTGAGCAGGCCAAGCCTAGCTGCTTAGAAGCACGGATGTATGGAATTGAATTTGGAAGATTGCAGAAAGAGATCCTGCTGAGACTTGAATTCTCAGCGGTTCTGTCGTCTTTGAAGAGTGCAGGAATTTGAGCCGGGTGGCTACAATGTGAAGCCGCAGGCAGCAAGCTTTTCAATGGACTTGCAGCTTACACATGCTAGGCTGGCAGCTGTATAGCCTATACTTATCCGAAACTTTGCCTGTTTCGGACGCAGGCGCGTCCTTCACCCTGCAATGCCTGAAGTGCTTGCAGCGGGGATCTTAGTGACCACCGGAAGGAGTTGGAGAGCTACAAAGACTAGTGAGAAGCAGCTTGCACGAACTAAATCTAAAGATGCTAACTAGGCTTGACCTAATCGAGAAGGCCACTCCCAGCTCAGGGAGTTGCAAAAGGTAAGAGGGGCCCTGTTACCTCCTAAAGGTGCTCCTTTGCGCATGTCCACGTTGGCAAAAGCAGTGCAAACCTCGCAACCAGCGACAAAGTATCCCATTCAACTCCTCTTGGCATCTGACAGGGAGATAGCCATCCTGCGCAAAGTGGCAGGAAGGGTGGAAACAATCATCAAACAGAGCAGCAGTCAGCACAACGACAGGAGTGATAACTTAAACAGAGGCGGGTGCCTTGAGAAAGGAGCTCCGCGAGTCTGTGCATCAGAGTGCTGGCCTGTCCACCGTGCGCTGCGTCCTCAGCTTGCAGTGCCGGAGCATCATTCCTGTCTCGAAAAAGGGAAGATACAGAGATTCCGAGAGTTTTGCGTAGGGCGGACTGTGGATGTAAGTCGCTGTAGGATTCTGCCAGGGGACTTATCAGGGTTCATGCTGGGGTCTGCAGCAAACACGACCGACTGATTGACAAATGTAGCACGAGGCAGCGAGGGTTGCTCTACATTTCTCAAGTGATGTTTTCGCTGCAGCGCGCCAGCACCAGTCAGTCTGTAATCATTCCAGCCATCCTCTGAAAGTTTGATGGATAAGATAAGCAGCCGCAGCTGCAGCAGTCACAGTAGCCGGAATGCAGGGAATTCCCAAACCGGCCGCAGAATCCCTCTTCTGTGCAGGTGCAGAAGCAGGTTGGGTAATGGCCCTAGAAGGATGCATGGCTCTGTGAGTGATGATCTGGATAGGTCTTCAAGCGTGGGACTGGGATTTTCCTGATCTATAGTGAAAATGCTTCCAAAAGGGGTCAGAGATGAGGGCATTCAGACTACTGCGGTGGAGATTGGATTGCCCAAAAGGGTGTCAAGATGTGATGTTCCTCAACAATCCTGCCGCGTATCTTTTCAGCCTACAGCTTCATGGCTTGTCGTGCGGCTCCGCAGAGCTAATCTTGCTCATGTAACGCAAGTGCCGCTGAGGTTTGCGCAATTTGCCTGGGGGGTGATGATGAGGCATACAGTGAGATCAGGATGAGCACTTAAGGGCCACTTTTTAGATCACAAGTGTATGATCGCTGTGACTGGCACAGCTTAAGCTTTGAGATGCTGTAGCGATGGCATTTACACTGACATAGTGATGCGGAAAGAGCCTCTCCTGGTATGATGCGGGAGGTGAGCACTGATGCCACTGACACCGACGGTACAGTTGACCACTCAGGATGCTTGGTAGAACACTGACCGCTTTGGGAGAAATACCTTGCATAGCGATTGGCGAAATCGCAAAATCCGAGTGCTCAGTTTATCCGCAAAAGCATGTTTAGGTAGGACAGCGGAGGCAAGCAAAACCAGATAGCTTCGTTGCGTAGTCTACCAAAGGTTGTGTGGCCGACAGGGTGACAAACATTTGAGGCTTACTGGCGTTGCAGAACCCATTTGTCAATGAGTCTGGTGTTGCAGTGCTTTCTGGCGATCTGCCAGCATTATGCTAAGCAGTTCACCAGGAGTGTGTCTGCATGGCAAAATTTCACAAGAGGGACCCCCCCAAAGACCTTGCACACTCCCATCTTGATGCAAGAAGCTTGCTACTTTGCATGTTGGTCGCGATCTCAGGTCAGCTCCCATGCGTTATTGTACTTTCATCTTCCAAGCATGCTTAACTTCAGCCTTACACCTACCCAGGAATGGACCTGCCATGTCACAAATCTTATCTAACAGGTCCAGCGAGAGCGGAAACTGGCTTGGCCCAACACCTGGCTGTACAGCTTCAGTGCTGCCTTGACTGCTTTTAATGCAAGAACCTACGTCGCATTCTTTTCGCTCATTCTGACCAGAACCATTTTGAAGCTCCAAGGTGTACAGTCTTCTGTTGGCCATGACTCTTTCTTGTTCGGTTGTTCGCTATCACGTGCCGGCTCCCGCCTCAGGCGCAGGCTTCCATGTGGCCACGTTCCCGGCCCCAGTTTTTGAGAAGAAAATGCACGTGCCGCGTTGGTACGAGGGTTGAGCTCGGGATATCTCACTCACACATGCCGCTCTGCGATGCTCTTCGTGAAGCACAAGATCTCGCATATCTTGTAGCGCTGTGCATACAAAAGATCTTGTGCTGAGCACCGGGGCAGGTCTTTCACAAGCGCTGCTTGCTTCCCTGGATCCGTTGTGGCAAGCCCCCGGCTCAGGTCAATTAGGTAGACATGTCAGCCACATCTATTGTGAGCATGATTCTTGCCTCTGCCACGAAGGCTATGTTGCAAATAATGCTGCCGTCACAAACTGTAACTCACTAAGGGTGATGATTGAGATAGCTTGGGCAAGGACTTAAACGCTCCAGGCTTCTCTGCAAGTTGCGAATCCCTTTCTGGTGACTCCAGCGCTACTGTTGTCCCTTTGCAATATGGTCAGCGTTTAAAACTCCATGTTTTCTGCAAGGGGATCCATCCGAAAACCCCCCTGTGCCAGCATGCTGCCAGCTTCACAGCGCTGTAGCGTGATACTTTCGCAAAGCACATAGGCAGGGAAGGGTGCAGCGGACTAGCGACAATGTTTCGGAGCAGACGCCGCAACTCAGCCCCTTTGTTGGGAGAACTTTCGCTACAGATTGCGCACAGTATCCTGAGAAACCTCATCGAGCTCTTCTATCACCATGGCTTTTGTTGCTCACCGAGGCCATGCCCATTAGGCCGCTGCGTGGTGTGTCTCGGCCAAAGATAGCGAACAAACCGCAGCAAGCCCTTCAAGCTTCAGGCCGTGTTCGTAGTGCATGCTACGGCTTGTTGCGATGGTTGCAAGCCACTAGTATGAATGTAATACAGTTGTATAGCGGCATTTCCTATCAAACCGCTAAACTACAACAACCTTGCTTGACCTCGTTACCACCCTTGCTCCGACCTCTGCTTCTCTTCATCTTGCTCCTACTGCTACTACATTTAATGATAGTAGCAATAATAATAGTAGTACTAAAAGTTATACTAGTACTAATTGTACTATATTGCGCCACGGGTTTGACGATCCAGCTGAGGCCGGCTGCTGCGCGGTCGGGCAGAGGTGAGATGATCTTCTCAGTTGCCTCGGCTGGTCTGCTCAGCCCCAGTGATGTGGTGATGAACGAGTATGGGAGGTTATGGCGGCTATATAGGGGTGGTATAGGATTTCTATAGGGTATATTAGTATATTGGGTATATCAAGCCTGATTCAGGGTTTAGGGTTACCCCATGGGTTGCCTACATGTCCTCTATTTCCTTGCGGGGCACTCTTTCCTTCAAGCATCAGGCTTGTAGCTGTGCTTTGTTTTGGTTTTTCTGAAAGGTTTGCCAAAAAGTGTGAGACCCAACCCCATGTTCCCGCGCAATCCGTTTTCACTTGCTCCAAGCTTTGGGAGCAACAAACTTCAAACACTCTAAAAACTAAGGCCTGGAAAGAGCTTCCGCTGGGAGCTTGGCACAGCCTCGAAACCCAAGCAGATTGACTGTGGAGGTCGTAGTGATGTTGACGGTGGTAGCGGCAGCAGACCGGCAGTTGCAGCAGGAGAAGAGCATTCGAACATTGAAGTGCGCACTGAGGCAAGACGTGGTTGCCCGTGACATCCTTGGGTGCTGCTGCCCGGTTTTGACCACGAAATGAGCTTCGGCTTTTAATGTGCTCACTACAATATGCCTAGGTACGGAAATGAGCACGGGCTGGTGCACTCGAAGGTGCATAAACCTATGCCCAGGGAAGCATGCGGAAGCTAACGCAGAAGAGCTTCCTCCGCGGAAGCTCAACTTCAAGTGCCATTACCTCAACATGAAGAGGGACGTTCGGCGCACTTTCAAGTTCCCAGCTCTTTGGTGAAAGCAATAGTCGTGCGTGAGCTGCGAAAACACGCTGCGGAAGCGCTCGCAGAAAGCGTGTTTAAAAAGTGGTAGCCGCGGAAGGTAACACTCCACACGCGGAAGACCACGGAAGGGGACTTGCAAAAGGGCCCTCATTTCACCTTTTAAAGAAGGAATAAAAACCATCCAAAACAAAACCAAGTCCTACAGTGCCAGGATCCCAAAGGGGGGACCCCGAACTTTCGGAACCCTAATGTGAGTCCTGCCTGAATCAGAGAGAAGGGCTGCTCATCCCATGTGACATATATATATATTCTATATATGGGTAGTTCCCAAAATTAGGGTTACCTTTTGGGCGGGTCCCGATAATAAGGATTATAGTATTTTGGGGTCTATATTGGGGTCCCCTTATTTTGGGAAACTACCATATGACTCTATATATATATATATATATGAAATATGCAAGTTTCAACCCCAAGGCCCACTTGGGTTTGCGGTTGATCCTTCAGGGTGCTATCTTCGTTTCGCTTCCTTACCCTTCGGCTCGTGTGGCCATGCAGCCAGGCCCAAGCAGGAAAATCCATCCGGAATGGAGCGCCGGCGTGCCAACATCTTGGTGATGATAGACCATGTGGAGTAAATAGCTGGGAAGCTTTTTCTCCGATTGGATGGAATGATTATGAAAGATGAGGAGACACCATTCACTGAATGCGTGCTCGCAACAGCTGTGCTAGTCAAACTCTTGTCGGCTCAGGCGGCCATACGCGTGATGAAGTTTGCACTGCCCAGGCCCCTCCACAGCCTCCACATGCTCGAAAGGGCGTGAAGCTTACACAGCTTCGATGTGGAAGAAGCTCCTATGAGGCCAGCAGCTAGCATCATCCGACGTACCTCGCTCCGAATCACGCAGTAGATAACGTACACCGCAGATCCATCATCTATGAGCATTACTATTCGTATTGTCAGTTGGTGCACTGCCGCCAAAGAAAAATGGGTCTTTTTGAATGGCGGGGAGACACACCGAAACAATCCTGGTCGTAGGACTAGCCTTAAGATCAAAATAAGTAGGAAATCAATAGGAGGAGATGCGGAGCTCAGTTACCTGTCTTCATAAATAGGAGAGGGCTTGCCGAGCTCACCGGCTGTTTTCAACAAAAGTCACCTTCGGGGAGAGCGCAGGGCTGCAGTAGTGGAGAAGCGTTGCAGAGCTATAGCTCTGTTCGAGTAACTTCAATCGGAGGAATGGCCCAAGCAAAACAGAAATTGATCGACAAATCAGCACGGTCGTGGAGCGCTGGATCACTCTCTCTCAGAGACGTTTGCCTGGCCAACCCGAAAAAGCCAAAGAAAAGACATCGATCGTGTTGGGCGCGTTGCCTGCAACTTGGAATCCTGAATTTGAAGGTCTTGAGGCAAACAGGCCAGATCAACCAATCCATGAATTGGCAAAACACCAGCTGTTGGCATGCCTACAATGCGAAAGGGGTTGTATGCGACCTCGCACAAATCCCCGGCCCCACACGCAGTGAGGAGTTTCTACAGTTTCCTGAATGAATTCCCTCAAACTGCCTAAAGTTGATTGAGACCTTTCCACAACGATCGGGATTGAAATTTGGCCTGGTTACTAATGTGTGCCCAACGATAATGAGGGGCATGCTTGCCCTGCATGCTTCGAAGGTGGGAGGGGGAAAAATGTGATGAGGGGCCTCCTAGTTGAGTTTGGGTTGGCGTTCCCAAGGCAGGACTCTTGTGAGGGCTTGGGCTCAGAACTCATCGGTTCGGCCTCACCCTAATCTCCTTGGATCTCTCCCTGTCTCTGTTACTTGTGGTCAATATGAAGGTCTTTCTTCGTTTCTGCTATGAAAGCCCTCTCAGGGTTTAGAGCTCAGGTTATAGCAGGACTCAAATTTCAGCAGATTGACAGGCCTGGCATTGACCCGATAATCCCGTACCCTTTCTTAAAGAGCCATCATTCACTCCGTTCTGCTGGGCCTCAGCAGGAATGATTTTTGCATAAGCGGCTTAGTAAGAAATCGATGGTCTATGGAGATTGGTTTCTGGGTAACAGGCTCAGTTTTTCTGTCTGCAGGGTTTCTTTCCAGTTGAAAATATGCCATGGCTCGCTCCTTTTCTGCTTTGTTATTCTTCCGCACAGACAAAATTTCGCTCCATTCCATACCCTGTTCATTATTCTGTACGGCCAAGAGTTGGCTCTGTTGCTATCCACATGTATCCACTATCCCCATTACGGACACCGTCATCACAACGCTCAGCAACGCTCAGCTTTTAGTCTTATTGGCATGAGGCTGCGGAGCTCGCTTTGCGCCAAACACCGCCTTCTTTGAGTGCCGATGCCTCAGGAAAAACAAACACATGTTGCAAACTCGCACTGTCATATTTGCGCCCTATTCAGGGTTCCTGTTGCAGGGGGGGGGAGGGGCGTTAGGGTTAGGGAGCCTTTGGCGCAGCATCCAAACACTATCCGCTAAGGCTTGCGTGGCTTTGACGAGGTGCTAGATGGACGGGGTCTCAGACTGCAGCCACAACTCCAAGTTAGCGGGACAGTTTGTGGTTTGTAAGCTTGCTGTCTAATATTAGCGGGGGTGCAGTCTTGATGTGTGCCTGCACTACTGCAATAAACACTGTGCCTGTACATGATGCATGTACGGCTCAAAGTCGTATGTCTGCCGACTACTTGTGCAAGTCTAGAGATGAATGCGATACTTGCAGTTGCGGCCGCGGTGGCCTCCACAGCTGTGCGGCTTGACATTGCCAATCAGCCGGCAGCTGCGCGCTGCCCTGGCGACGTGATTCTAGCCGTTTACGGGAGATCAGACTACAACGAGAATATCGATGACAGTACCTGGCTGGACGATGACATGGTGAACATGATTGGCGGTTCCTCAGCGAACCTAGACAGTTGCCTTCAATGACACGTCTTTCACGTAGGTAAATCTTTTGCAGATCCCAGAGCAAGCCCAGGATATCCTATCTTCCAACAACACACGGCCCAGGGCAAGCGATTCCAGTACCACGTTGGATGCAACTTTCAAACCCAACGACCCGCCTTATACTACGAGGAGGTAACTGAGACTGGCCAGGGCGTGTCTGACTCTCAGAGGGTAGGTCGTGCTTCCTGCAGTCGTCATCAGGATGCAGGAGTCCTGCCATCCCAGGCCAAACACTTTCGCAGTTATTCCGCTGAAAGATACGGAGCCCTTGCGCGTCTACGTGGGACAGTATGGCCCAGAAGTTGTGGAGTTTGCGTGGACTACGCTGCTCATGGATGTTTTGGTGGATGGGGTGGTGACCCTGCAAGATGGACACGGATTCAAGCCGCACCTCGACGTCTGTTTCCTCAAGACTACCCTGTGCAAAGCTTGAGGTGCCTGAAGTACTAGGAGCATTTTGTCAGCTGTTAGGCCTGTAGAGTATTCCACCTTGGCGTTCCCATGCTTCTCAAGAAAGAGAGTGTTCCATGATACGACGGCTTTTGAGCTGAGATAAGGCCGCCACCTCCCAGCATGAGGACCACAACGACGTCCCCAAGGATCCGCAATCCAAGAGATGAGTTACTGTCTTACCCCGATTTCAGGGCAACAGACACAATTCCTACACATGCTATGAGGGCACTCCAGTGATCAGGGAAGGATTGAAAAAGTGAGGCAGTCCGCAACTTTTAAATAGGGAGAGGAGATGCAAGAAGTTGACTCAGGACTGTACAGCCAAGCTCTGCGTGGCGAAGGGCGAAGATGCTCCTCTCAGGAGAAAACTCCAAAACATCAGAGACCACCGAGTCCAAGAGTACAGGCAAAGAGGAAGACGATGAGTGCCTGAGCTTCGTTATCCTTCTTGTTACTTCGAGAAGGCCATTGGTGCGGTTTGTTTTGCGTTTTCCTGCTGCTGACTTGAGCTCGAACGCGCTAAGGGCTTCGGAAGCTTCCGACGCCGACTCCGATATAGTTGACATCAAAACCGGAGATGGTGTGCAAAGAGCGATCCAGCTAGACCCCGCGCGTCACAGCAAGGACACCACAAAGAAGGAGGGTCTTCTTTTAGTCAGCGCATGCGAACGTTCTTGGGCCTCCTGACTTGTTCAATCTCCTGTCTTTGTTAATTGCAGGAGAGCGAGGCCCACAACGCTGACGTCCAGACAGAGTTGACACAGAAGCTGCCCGACCTGAATTTCTGCCATGGACTCAGCAACTGCGCGGAAGTAACACTTCAGATTCGCATGTTGGTTTTTGAAATGAAATCCAAGCTCTGAGCTGCTAAGGCCAAAGAACAGTCACGCTTGAACTCGTTGGTACGATGGAGAGGAATGCTCAGCAGCAATCCGTCCTCAAAGCCGTGCACACAAAAGTGAAGGCGTGACTCTCTACCGCTTGGTGTTGAAAGTGGTGCCTGAGATTGGGTGTCAGATCAAGCGCCTTGCGGCAAGTCCTGTCACCCTTCATCCTTTAGTTGGGCCAGCTCTTACAGTGTCAGGTGCCCCCAGAGTACTACACCAAGCTTGGAGGATTGAGGATCTTTGCCAAAAAAGCACAAGGCGTCCCAGCCTGCATCAAGTCTTTTCATGTTAGGGTGCTTCACATTCACTCGCCTTCAGAACTGAGGACGGGTTGATAAGATCTACTATCTCCGCTGTGATTTCACCAATGGACAGCCCCTCCTGATCATGCGCCAAGGTGGTGACGTAGAGGTCAGGCGTTTTAACTTCAAGTGGTGGAGGACATCCTCTGTTCAGGAGTCTATCGGAGAGCACTTGGATCTCTTGGCGGATCCCGTCTCAGTCCCCTATCCTGTGGTGAAAGGCTATGTTACCGTGACACCCGACTGATGAAAGCAAAGATCACGAGTCGCGCTGCCCGTGCTAGAAAAAGAAGAGCACGCCAGTCCTAGGCAAGCGGTAAGAGCATCAGCAGCTGCCTTTCCCATGTAAGTGTAATTGCGTTGGGGGTATTTTATTGGCAGCTGACCGGGCATAGAATTCATTGTTCCTGTTCCTACTCAGCCTGCTTTCCCCAAAGACATGGTGAGTCTTCTTGCAAGGGTCCTTCACGACAAGTCATGATGTCGAAAGCCTAAAACATCGGCGCCGCTGAGGCTGCCTTCTTTGAGAGAAGCGGCCGCCCCTTGCCTGCAGCCTGCTGCTGTTTGCCTTGTCGCGCGTGTTGGCAAAGTTACCATAACATGGGTATATAGTAAATGATAGGGTTTTCTCATTATAGTAACTTATTATAAGTTCCTTAACAGCAACCCACTTTGAGGAAAAGTTCTGGCTTGAAGCGAGAACGCAGCAAACAGCAATATTGTAGTAATTACGCAGTATTTTGCAGCAGTGATGTTTTGTTGCACTTGCTGAAGCCATACTGGGGAATTTTGGCGGTGTCAAATGTTGATGCCTAGACCCGAATTTGTCGCAATCCCCAAGGAACTCAATTTCAACCTGCCTGCGGCAGGTTGGCAGGTCAGAGGTTTCACTGCTAGTCGGAATGATGGTTGTATCCGCCACTGCACCCTAAAACCCTTCATAGTAGTTTCCATGTTCTTTTCCATTATCCCTATAATAACCCCTATTTCACCCCAATGTGCAGCTGCAGGTCCAGACAGCCTGGAAGCTTCCTGCAAGATGCTTTGGTTTGGGCAGAGATTCTTTGTGCCCTTTTTTGGAGGGCCGCCTTTCTCCCATCACACAGCTCCAAATAGGGCCCGACATGGAGCTGACGTTGCACAACCACCTGCCAAGCTTGTGCTGTGACATTTAGAATAATAGCCAAAGGGATGCCAGGCTTGTCAGGAATGAATTTGGAGGACTGTGGCCAGGCCACTTGCACCCGGGCAGGAAGCCGTGGCCACAAAGTCTGATGCTGATTCCCTTGCCCAGCGCAGGATTTCACACAAGAGCAGAGGTTGCTAAAAGGAACATGTGAATCCTCTGCTGTTTCTCCATGAAATCCTGTAGACCTCAAGCTTTGCCTGTGCAAAGTGCTGGAAGGTCGTTGCCGGGCTGCTCAGAGCCTTTTCGGGGCAAAATTAATGGCAGACAGCCAGCACATTTACATGCACCAACTTGCCAACCCATTTTTGCCCAATGGCTGAGAGGCAACAAGGCACACGAGGCCATGGTTTTGAACATTGTGATTCGCTGTGCCTGTTCCGTTGCAGCGTGCAAAAGCCAGAGGAATTCGAAAGCAAGACCGACCGCACGTCTTGAGTGGAGGGATGTGTGCTGCAACATGTAGTGAACTCCCACCTACTACCAGTCAGACCTACACTCCCAGCCGCTCTTAGTGCAGATTCCTCACATGGAGCCCAGCCGCAAAATTCGACGAAATTCAACGTGTTCTGTGCTCTTTGGCACAGTGACACAATCTAAATTCAAGGAATGTTGGAGAGATTCACTATGAGAGACATCAGCATGTTGGCACATAATCAGTTTAGATGGCGGGCGGCATGGATCCAGACGGAGTCTTGAAGACCGAGCTCGAAATGAGCGAGACTCCAGCTGGGACCTGGATGGACCGTGCGCAGCCAAGCCAAGCCTTTGCAACTTTGCGGCGGGCTTTGAGGAGTTTTCTCGGTGCCTCTTGCATTGCACGTGACTGCCATGAGGATGGCACACAGCAGCTAGATATCGCAGCCCTGACATAGCTGAGCATAGGTCAAGTTGTCAAATACAGGACAAATTGCAAAAGTACTTCTCCACGGCAGTCGATCCCGGTACTGCACCAGAGTCCATGACAGCGCGATGAACACCGTACTTCCGAGCCTGGGCCCTGGAGTAACAAACTTTCACTGCTATATACTGCTACAACTTACAATTGTCATTCTGCTAGGCTGCTTACGACCATCACACAACCGTAGCCACAGCTACCAACGTGCCAGCCCCACCATTGCCTCGCCATCGCTCTTCTTCGTCTCCATCCGCACTAGCGCGTGGAGTGTTCTCTAGGAAGCCTGTTGAGGCTGACACGTCTGTGCTCGAGTGGCCGTGTCTGCGCCTCAGGTGCTAGCAACACCAGCTCAAAGCGCAGCAAGAACTTTGATGGACCTTAGAATTTACCCTTGAGAGAGGACAAGAATTTGGCAGAATTCCACAGCTCCAGTCTTCATCAGCCTGATCAAGCTTGGAAGGTTCCAGGCCCTGCTTGACAGGCCTTGCTAATTATACCCACGACAAGAACGATTTCCTGGGCCACACACTTTTTTCAGCCGCAGCTCGCTGGGACCTGAGGCGCAAGTCTTCGACAGGCTCATGCCGCTGTGGCCTTGGCCTTGGACGCACATGGGATTTTCCAAGAGCGAGGGGTTCTTTTCTGCTTGGGCATAGCTTTTTTGAGGTACACCTTGTGCCACTCGTGTTCTGGCGATTTGGAGCATTGACTTTTCTTTGACTTATCTGGAAAGAGCCGTTCCTTCTAGAAAATGGGAGGCGGCCCAGAGGGCAGCTTAGCCGGGCGCCCAGTCACAGAGCCAGACCAGAGAGGGGGGAGTCACATGGCAAAAAGCAGATTAGCCCAGGAGAGGAGGTCCAGTTATGTTCAGGGAAACTTTCTCTGAGCATTGTGACAGGAGAGTTCATTTACGGATGCCATGTTGAACATGCTTGGGCTGAAGCAGTCCAATAATTGCTCAAACTGCTGGTTGAGCAGCGGATATCCTGAAACCAAGGGCCACTTGAGGAGATCCGACGCCCCTCCTGACCAGCCGCTGTCACAAAGCTGGGGTAAGCAAGTTGGTCCGCGGCCAGTTTCTCTCCTTCCTATTGCATCTAGGCATCTAGCATGTGAAGAGAGAAACTCGATCTGGTTTCGAGGAGGTGCTTTGGCTGAAAAGGCTAGAGCAAGATTGCTGCCGGGGCACTTTGTCACTTAGTGCGCCGGCATGCAGGATCCCGAATGCGCAGACTGGTGTTAGCACTGCCTCAGTGAAGATTGGATGCCTAGCAGGTTTCTTCAGGCAAAAACCTTCGCGGAGCATTGGTGATTGTTGGTGCTGAAGCTAGCTAGAGCTGCGGATTCGAGCACGCATAATTCCGCGGCGTGTTCTCGAGGTTTTATGAGTTCTGTAATGATGATGACGATCAGGACGACTACTAGGCTACTCTCTCAGCTCTGCCCTACGCGACGAGCGATAGCGAGGAGAAGCAAATGTGTCTGGTCATTATTGAGTCACTTACACCGGTAGCTACTGCTGTCGGCAGGAGGCTTGCTAGTGCTTCTGTTGCTGTCCTGATGCGTGCCATGACGATGAAGGTAATTGTTGCAGTTACCGTGAGAGATTAAGCTTTACAACATAGATGTCACTGCTCCTAAGGCTTTGCTTCTTCGAGCATTGGTAACAGTTTTGACACAGAGGCAGGCGCCAGGTGTAGATCTGCTTGCCAAAGGCGGCTTGCAACTGACGTGTAAGTTCCTTGTAACCTTGCGCTGCCTTCATGCAAGATCAACGATAGCAAAGCACCAACAGAGCTCACAACGTAGCGCTCATGATGGCCCGTGCTCATGGCAATAGCATCAGAGTTGTAGCACAGGTTCTGGCAAAAGGCGTCAGTGAGAAGGCACAGTAATGAACATGATAGTGACTGGTAGTATACAAGTCGTGAGCAGAAGAATACAGGTGGGGTGGCCACGGTTATCAGCATCAGGAGAATGCTAATTAGATCTTTCTTGAAAAATGTCTAAGTGGCAGCTCAGGGACCATTGCAATCAAGAAGTTTGTCTTTTCGCTCGCACAGTCCCCGCTTCAACCCCCCCCAAATCCCGGCAAGAGTTCAGGAAGCTACCTAGAACTGACGGGTTGGAGGGGGACTTCTTGGAGTGTTGTGATTTGTAGTTTGCTCTGCTTCCCTGAGGACCAGCAAACTGTTTAATGCAAGTGCTGATGTTAGGTCTCCGTACTGATTGTTTTCCCGTCAAGTTTTGTGTCAACATTGTCGGCTGCCCTCACAATCAAATGGTGTCGCGCAACTCGAAGCTCCTCCTCGAATTCAACTGTTGAGACTTGAGTGTGTTGAGGGCAGTTGACCTGAAGTTGGTTTTGTTCGTTGTTCCTGCGTTCCTGCCAGCTTGGCAGAGGCTCAGGGCCTCCTCTGACAGTTTTGAAGGCAGGTAGGCGCCAGGTATCCCAGGTATCCGGAGGGTTCCAAAACCATCAGCCCCCGGGAGGATGAGCCGAAGCCCCACGGTTATCATTGTTCTGCTGCAATGGCAGTTGCTTGTGGAATTTAATCCTGTGCGATTTTAAGTCACCAGGTAGTGTGCAGTTTTTGTCATGCAATACGTGCACGCAGTTTGCCCAGACTTGTACATACAGAGACTTCGTGGCGATGCGAGGAGTTCGTACAAGGAACCAAAAGACCGCCAGAAATTGGCGTCAACATTACTCTTGACAGCACATGGACAGTCTAGCACAGGCCGCAGTGAGCAAGCCATCAGCAACAGGACATTGTGCTGGTCAAGGCAAAGCTTGTTGCCTCCAAGCTCAGCATGCTCTGGGCAAGGCCCTGGCTTTTCTCCTAAAGGAAGCCATGTACAAAGATCAGCCCAGCGGATGCTGCCTGCCTCGGACGAGATTGGTTGCTGGAGGTTTGCATCACTTGTTCTTGACTAGTTGCGGGATCCTTGCAACTTGGTGTCTGGGTCATTTGAAGCACTGCGTCTCTACAAAGACCTCAAGGAAGCCCTTGAAAATAGTTTACTTCGAGCATCCCCACCCTAAAGCCGTCATTGCACAAGAAGTGTAACGTTTCCCTGCCCCCCCTCAACTGTCTTCCTTGCAGCACTGCAAATGCATTGCAAAAATATTGATGCTTTGCGGTTGGGCACTCCAGGGATATTTGGTGGTTGGGCACTGCAGGGATACTCTGCGGTTCGGCACTGCAGGGATAGTTGGTGGTTGGGCACTGCAGGGATACTTGGTGGTTGGGCACTGCAGGGATGCTTTGCAGTTGGGCACATCCGTTAAGCATTGCAGGGACACTCATTGGTTCGGCAGTGCAGGGATACTTGGTGGTTGGTCACTAAAGTCAGTTTTCAGCCGGGCGAGGACAACATCTACCTTAAAATCCAACAGCTCCACTGCGAGGGTGGGGAACAAGACCCACATGCAGACGTTGGCTAAGAAGATCCGCGCACACCTGAGAAATGTCTTATCCTTTGTAGCTGTTGCATTGTGATTTTGATTCTGACTACGTTGGTCCGTGGTGGGCAGCAATCTGCTGGCAATCCCAAAGACAATTGGACGCATGCCAAATGTGGCATCGGTCCTCCAGCATGAAATCAAGTGCAAGAACTGGCACGCTGCGCTTGCTGTGCCATCAGGCCAGTTGTGGTCTGACTTGGCCACTTCTCATTGCTGTACGCTCCTGCTTTGATCCTTGGGTTGGGCTCAAGGGCAGACAACAAGAGTCAGCCGTGACTAGCACGGCATTCTAATCAGAACAGGGGCAGCACTAATCAATGTAGGAAATTCTAGCAACAGAAATGATAATCTGAAAAGCTTTGGATGGGGCAGCCATCACCACCAAGGCTGCTGCCTTTGAGGCAGCATTAACAGCACCACTAGCAAACAGCACCAGGTGCAGACCCTCATGACAACCTTCACCATAACCACAGTGACAGTAATGACAGCAATTAGCAGCCAGCCACAGGAACATTACGCTTGAACAGATTTCCAGTCGATCATGCTTGCCATTCATTTGGCCATCTGCCTTGGAGGCTGGGGGGAATGTCTTCCCAAAAGCATCTCATCTAGAGTTCAAGTAGCCACTTGTGCTTGAGATGAAGTTCTGAAGGCGGATAATTCTTTGATGTGAAGTCATTGTGCTGCAAAGAATCGGGTCCACAACTTAATTATAATTGTCAGAGGGCCCCATGGTTTCTTGGAAGCGTACATCTTTTCAGGTGCCCTTCCGGTGTTCATGTCTCCCTCGAGAAAAAAACACTGTTGAGTCCCAGAGCCCCAAGGCAGCCCAACAGTTAAGAAAATAGGGTCCGACGTCAGCAGGCCCTCATTTTCTTAGCTAGAAGGAGCAGTGAAAATGCATATGTTCAGAAAATCCAGAGCACTGATTTAAACCATGCTTTCTTAAACAGAGCCGGCACTGTATTCAAGAACACACAAAGTGTTCTTGCCACAGCCCGCGCCATGTATGGTAGTTTCCATGTTCCTGTCCAGTATCAGGATATTCTGATAATTCCTACAACAAAATGATAGTTTCCATATTCTTTCTCCGTCATTACCTGTTGTATTCATAACCAGAGAAAAAATGGCAACAGTATATGTATATATATATACAGATATAGCTAGCTAGCTAGATATACATATATACAGAGCAATAATAGTAGTAATGATAACAGAATACTGACAGTGTGTTGTTGTGCTGTGGATTCGCCTGGTGCAGGCCTGGTCAGTGGGGAAAACTGTGGCCTGACGCTACCAAGCCACTTGGGCAAAGGGAAGGTGCTTTGGTCTTCCCGGTTTGAGGGTTTAGGGATGAGGCATTGCCTCTGAACTTGACCCATAAGGTACCCATCATTTGTCGGGCATCTCATATACGAACGATTACAACATGACAGAATTAACAACATGACAGAGGCCAAAAACGACCCTGGCTATTATTATACCAGTATTGACATCATTGCTATTACTGCTATTATTGCTCCCAGTATTAGTATTAGTATAATTGTTAATTACTACTATGATTAGTGGTCCCTCACCGAATTCGGCACAGCCTGAACCCCAAGCGTTTGGCGAGCCAAGAGCCCCGAGGGCTAAGACTATGAGGCTAAGGTATTGGGCTGTAGAGTCAGGTTTACCACCAGAGGCCTTGTATGCTAAGTGCAAAAGTGGTTGGGCTTGGTGTGCCCTGCCAGGGATAGTATAATATACTATTAGGATACTGAATGATTCGAAAGCTGTGGATTTTTTGGTAGCAATGCTTCTTGGCATTGCTGTCGCTGTTGTGTGCAAGCATGTTTTGTTTTTTTTTTATCATGGCTGTTCGGTATTGCGATCGTGATGTTTACCATGGTGGGGTTGAGGAGCGAAAGACGACCATCTCAAGTATGAGCCGCTGCGCTTGGGGGATCCGGATGCTGTTGACTTGGAGGACATCATCGCACGTCTTGAACTGGGTGGAGAGTTCTCAGGCATACGAGTGGCATACGGTCATATAGGGCATAGTGCGGCAGAGGAACCATATATCGCAAGCGTGGGTCATACAGCGCCACCATCCAGGTGTGGAATGCCCTTGTAGGAGCCCAAAGCAAGTTTCCGACATTTGGAGCAACCTCAGACAATGCGCCTGCTGGACATGTGCCTGTGCATGTCGACTGCCCTCCAGCGCGAATGTTCGCACTGACCCGTACAGGCCCCGAAGTGACTTTACAGGGAACCTTAGCGAGCCTCAGAAGCCTCACCCGTGGTCTCCTCAAAAACTCATGAATTGTGAGTCCTGTGTAAGTTGGATCATTGAGGATCTGCTCTTCTCAGAGCCATCCCGCGAGGAATGGGAACACATTCAAAGGCACTGCATGTCTGGAGAGAGCAACTCATGCCTGACGTTTGGCATCCAAGACTGGAAGCTCGGCGTAAAAGAGCTGTGGAACCGCTGGACTTGTGGTAGGCTGCCTGTAGGAGGTAAGAGTATCAGGGGTAGACTCGAGAAGGATGTGTGAGCGATGCTCTGCTTGCTGAGGAGCCTGCACTCCTTCAACGCTCTCGTCTACCAGGGGGTCGATGGCAAGCCTTGTGAAGAGGATTTTGCATTGGTTCCCGAAGTGTGCGGAGGCGTAATCCTGTGTAGTTTTGCAGGTGGTTGCTGTCTTTTCAAGGTCGGGTTCAGGTGGGTGCATGTTGTTAGCCAGGCCCAACCATGTCTGCCAGATCTCAGGGCTGCAGCCGATGAAGAACAGCTATTTTTTTCAGGGCAGCCATGGTACAGCTCATGACCTACTCGATGCTGTCGAGCTGCATGATTTCTACTAGGAATGTTGAGAGAATCTTTCGCCATTAGAGGCTGCTCTTCTACCACATTTTGGGCAGAGGTGAGCAGCCCATGCTGGGCGTGCCTGCTTGTCAGAGGGGTGCTTCTTGCAGATCCTCACAGTAATAGTAATGATCCTGCAGATGTCAAGCATGGTGTAAGTGGGGAATCAACGTTTGCAGGCATGGCCCTTGCCTCCGGTCAAGCCCTCATGATGATGAGCAAAAATTGCAGGCCAAGTGGCATGCCAGATTTTCGACGGCCAGAGCCGCATTGTTGGATTTCTTGGCGAGCTGGGCGACAAGACAGACCTCACCAAATTGTCCCGCCTGCCCCACTTGTGCCTTCGGCCAGGCATTAGACTTTCAAACAGGAGGTTGCCAGAAGAATGTGCGGTCACCGTGCCCTACAAATTACAACCCCTGATTGCAGTTTACCTGAGAGTGCGGTCAGCACGATGACGGACGATGTACAGACGTTCGACGTTGCCTGGCTTGCGGAGGTCCGCTGCCGTGCTGCGCGGGCCATCCAAGTACGACCTACAAGGCCCGGCCAACACAAGAGCCTATTTGCCTAGAGAATCTGAGATCTGGGATCCACAGGCATCCTTGTGCACATCCCTTGCTTTCGCTGAACAGGACCTAGAAGTTGTTTTCCTGTGCCCTACCCTTTGTTGGCCAGGTCACTCATGGCCATTGCTGCGCTTCCTCCGCCTGGAGGTAGACGTGTCTGTCGATCGGTTTTGGTGAACATGTGGATCTCCCTCCTACTACAGCGGGGGCAAGGAGAACAGACAGCTTGGGTTTGGAGTTTGGAGGGGTCGTGAAGAGTCAGTTGAGTCCATGATGGCTTCCAGCTTGCGTCCCACAAGAAGATCAGGCGAATAAGCCAACAGAAAAAGCAAGGAAAGCAGTCCAATCACCAGGCACCCACAAAGGGAGCTCTGCGGGTGGCAGCCGCAGCACTCCGTGGCCCAGCTGGACGCCAAGTTCGGACATTGCAGATCTATGGGCGCCAGGACCGCCGTACAGTAGCCGGTGACGGGGAAGCCAGGACTTTCGGAACCTGCTTGATATTGTCTATACTGCCTGAAGCTATGAATGATGAGCATGTCTTATGGCAGCTGCGGCACCCAAGCCAGCCAAATCACGCTTCTTCACAGGATCTGCTGCATTGGACTCCAGTTGACCTTGCCGATTTCTGCGGGCTCGACCTTTATTCCTTCAGTGCCTTTGCAACTCTGATGCAGACCAGCGTGTTCATCCAAAGGTCAACTAGCCTGGGGGCTTCATTGGCTGGACCTTGAAGCCCAAATGCCAAGCCAAGGAATCCGCGTGAAAGATTTCAGGCTCTACAAAGCAAGTACGTACCACATCTCAGGTCATTCAGGTGGAGGGGGGAGCGCTGCCTGACTGCTGGAGCCGCATGCGGAATTTGCAGAATTTTTATTGTTGCTCGGATCAAAGAGGTGCTCAGGTTCTAGTCTAGTGCAGTGGGATTTTGTGAACGGTGGTTTGTTGCGACGTGAACCATAGCTGTGAGGCCCGTGTAGACTGACCAAACAGGCTAAGCTCTTCCCTTTCATCATCCTGGTACTCGCCTGAGGCTCCAACTGCATGATGTCCAAGCCTCCGGCTGCGCTGAGAGGTTTACAGTCCTTGCGCTCCTTCGTGGCTTTCCGCCAATGGGTGTCTGGGCAGCAGGCAGCAGGGGCACAAGCGCCAACGTGCACGGCGTTTTACGCGTCATGCTTAGGAGATGGTTCCCTGCGCTGTGAAACGCCTACCAGCCGCAGAAGCAGCCTGCAAAGCCTCCTGGGAGACTCGCCATCTTCACAAGGCCCTGCACGGCAGCTTTTCTTGGGGGAGAAGGAGTGTTGGTCATTTTGCTTTCTCATGTTCAACACTCGAATCTCTTGGTAGGAGGGCCGCCGTGCCGAGAGCACGGGCAAATGGGACGACTTCCAGGAAGGGCCCAGCCTCATCTGCCCAGAGCACGCGTTTGGATTTGGCTTCGAGGACTCATATTCCTGCAAACTCTTTTTGAGGTTCCCATGCAGGGTGAAAACAGCAGTGGCCAGCGTCTAACATGAAAAGCCTTACCCAAATTCCACTGACGCGCGGCTGTTGTGGCAAGGAGTTTGTCAATCTCGGCTGGACCAACATCGAGAAGGTACCCATGACGAACTGCGGTCTATAGTGTGCGGATGTTGCGCAGAAACCATACTTAAAGATGCCAGGCTCCAGATTCGGGAGCGATTGTCCCTACCTTGATGAAACGAAGCTTCAGTAAGGGGAGTACTCTTGGACTGCTCTATGCATCCTACATCTAATATCAACACAGGAGCAGAAACCCTCAGACTCGCTAAAATGGAAGATCCCGCACACGCACCAGGTGTGGCTGGATGGCAATTTCCTCACCGGACAAGTCCCAGCACCTCGGCAAACTTGGCCCAGGATGGTGCAATCCCTGCAAAAGGAATCATTCTCCTTGTTACTATCATGACTAATCTACGATGTGCTGCGACTTCTTTATTTGGTGGTTTCTGTTAAAGGCATAGACCCCTGCCCGAACCCAAATTAATTATCAACAGTCCGGCACCGCTTGGAACCGTTCTCAGCCATTTATTGCCGACATGTGCGACGCGAATGCGAAAGACACGAGCCCCAACAACCGCATGTGTTCATTATAAACAGTTCAGAACAGTTTCGAACCGTTCCAGAATATTCATAGACTTCGCATGTATGCAAACACATTCCAGAAGAGTTCCCAGCTGTCCCGGATTGTATGGAGCCATGATATATCCTGTGCTGGAAGATTTCGACACAGTTCTGAGAGTTTAAGATTAGATTTAAAGTAAGTAGGGTGTTATGTGGGGGTTATCCAAAGGCTATATACGCGGGTTCCCTACTGGAGGTCGCAAAGAATCTTCAGATGTGAAATTGGTTTGCAACCCTGCGGACTTGCATTCCAAATCTTGAGGAGGACATCGCGAAGAAGTGGCCGAACTTAAGATCATTGGATCTGTACGACAACGACTTAGAAGGCTGTGCTCAGCATGTCAAGTTCGAATAACCAAATCGACGATCATAGCGACCTTTGGTTGGATTGATGCCTGGCAGGATCACTACCAGAATCTTTGGGTTCTTTGTCCTTCGTCAAGCTTCAGCTGCATGACTTCATAGTTTGAGATGAACACGTGGGAATTATTACAACTCATTGCAATGATCAAGGAATTGGCGAGACACAGATTCAGCTAAGGTTGCATGCCAATCGCTTCTCCGGCAAGGTGCCGCGCAGCGATGGGGACTGAGCAACTTTGGATGTTTCTCCCTGCTGGTATATGGTGCCCTGAGCAAGCTGATCTGCAACAAGGTTTGGAAATTGACCACGCAGCCGCATCTCATTCTTGGATTGCAGGAGAGCAAGCAGCATGTTCTTGCGGTAAGCTGACAGTGGGATTGAATCCCTATTCGTATCTATGATTTATGTAAGTTCCACTCCCCATGACTAATACTTCCTATTCCTGACTGCAGGAGAACTTGAATCTGACGGGCTGCGCTCCTCCCTTGCACCAGTGGAAGGGTGGAGTGCCAGGCTCGAAGCCAAAAGTCAAAAAAGAAGCTTATTAGACTAGAAGCAAGCTGTGTGAGATTTGTGTGAGGGATGCAGAGCCAGGAACTGGGATTCGGCCATGCGAGGGGGAGCTTTGAAACACCGAAGACGCTCTCCGTGAAGGTGCAAGGGATGTCATCTCCTCGCGGGCGATGCGTCTCCGTGAAATTGATGAGCTGTCTCAGGCCGACATCCAGTACGTGCAGCTTCCAGCAGGCGAGCCCGTGGCAAAATGGTCGCAGCCCAACCGCGCCGAGCGATGCAGCACTGTCAAAGTCCTGCAAACCGACGCCGCCACCAACCTACGGACGCTTGATCAAGGCGCCAGCTTCCAGAACTTGCTGCGTTACATGCTCAAGTGTGTGTTTTTTGTTTTCTGTTTGGTTGTGTTTTGTTTTTGGTCCTGGTTTCCCGGTCTTTTAGCAGCTTGATCCTTTGGTCGCCTGTAGTCTTCCAAGCTTCTTTTCCTACAGCCCTCTTGTCCTCCGGTCTTCTGGTCCTCTGGTCTCCTGCTCCTCGGGTCTCCCCAGCCCCTTCTGTGGCAAGTGGGAGTGTCACCCGAGTTTAGACCATCCCCGACCAATCAAAACAAACAGGCTTTGAGGGGAACACACACACACACACACACCCACACAGAGTCAAGGCTGGTTGGGAAAATCTGGATGCATTCGCTCTGCTCACGCTCAATAAACTCTGCACTCATGGATTATTCAGCTTTTCAACTGAACATGGCAACATGCTCCCCAACAGTTTTGTACATCACTTGACTCACTAATTTACATATTCCGCTCTCGTTCGGCGGATTTGCATTTTATGAGTTGCTGCCACGCCGCGCCCTGGGCACCTTGCTGACCTCCCCCAGCTGCCACGCAGGGCCCAGGAGCGAGGTCCCCCACAGCAGGTACACTGAAATGGCCAGTTCCAGCTTCCCGCATACTCAGTTAGCTTCGTTGGATGAGATCACTGAGTATGCGTCTCATCCCCCTGCAATTCGGCAATACAGCAATATACTAGCAGCGTCCGAAAACTCTTGGAAACAGAGGTGCACACACACACACACACACGGAGAAACTCGCACCAAAAAATGGGGTACCCCCCAGACCCACACTACAGGCATGGCAAGTACAACGAACACGACCAGACTTGCTTGAGGTGAAATTTCGACGGGCACGCATCGCTGAGGCTGGCCACAGTGGTCAGCAGTCGGGTGGCAACATCATGGCATACGTGATTTGACCCAAGAGAAGTTGCAAGTTGTAGCAACGGGACAAAACAATGCCAAGACTCTTTTGTGCAGCTGCTTGCCTCTTCTTACCCAAGATTTACTGCCTTCTGCATGTCGGCATCATGGACAATGCGAACCTGTCGCACGAACAGCCAGTAGCTAACAAACGCCCTTAAGCCGCAGCTTCCCTAACCTGAACGAACAATGAAACTCGTCCTTGATTCACTTGCTTCTAAGCAGGAAAAGCTTCGCCTTTGAAAGTAGCATCTTGCCCTATGTTTGGTTGTCTTCGTATCCATTGAGCACATGGCTTCAAGGTCTGGAAGATTTTGAGGCGCTGTGCCACACGCACGGATAATCTTTTGGAGATGGCTAGACGCTGTGATGTTCTTGGCCTCTTCGCCATCCAGTCCCTCTCGTGCCTGACTCAGATGCCATAGCATTTAGGCACTAGTAGCGAACCGAACTCAGGCCGTGGCAGATAGCTCCATCTTGCTGGTCAGCCGCTGTTTGGCTCAAAAGGCGTTTTTTGCCTTGGTAAAAATGATGCTGCAACTGCAAGCCTCTTGAAGAGAAGTACAAAGGACAGACTAGATCTGCACATTTGCATTTCCAGTTTGAATGTAATGTTGTTGATGCCAGCGCGGGTACTGATATGAGCCATCTCACCGTTGATTTTCTGAAGTACCTGTACAATAACGCGCGAGGTTTTTTTTGGCTCCGTCAGAACCAGTTGTTAAGTTTCTGATCTTATACTTGTGTTCACCAGGTTCATTGACAAAATGCTGCTAGCATGCCGCAAGAAGCAATGCAGCATTGAAAACAGGGCAGGTAATTACCTTAATCGCATCGAACAAGAAGGCGGGCTTCAGGTGCGTCAGGTGCAAGCAGACTAGTACGGCTCGCGCCGCGCGCCCCTCATGGGAGCCTGGGATGTGGTTGGCGGCGGCGACAAAGGCGGTCTGCTTGTGAGAGATGGTTCCAGCACAAGCTCGAAGCAGCTCCTCAGCAGCAGGTAGCAAAGCGGAACGTAGCGGAACTCGGTTTGACACTTGTTTTGGGCTAGACTCTGGGCTAAGCTAGGCTGGAGGAGCGACTCGCCACAGGTTCTCGACGCTTGCTTGCAGACTTGCAGATGCCCTTTCGAACCCTTCCTTCCATGCCTTTTGTTTGGCAAGCTGACAGCTGCTGACATGTCGCCTCAGGCGTTGAGGAGTTGGATCGTAGTGGTGATCGCATCAAATACCGCCTGGTCTCCGGCAGTGGACCGCAGACGGGATGGGCCACTTAACTTGCCAGAGACAACTGTGAAACATTTTGCTCGTTGGCCCGTTCAATGCTGAGGTGAGCGTCACTCTCAAAGACAAGGAGTTGCTCAGAAAAGCAGAGGAGAACCACCAGCAGAGTCTGCAATGGCAAGGGGCAAGGTGTGCAGAATCTTGATGTAGGAATCTCACGAACAATTTCAGCTAGTGTTGACATCTCAAGTTGTGTCCGAAGAGTGGATCCTTCGCTTTCGAGGTCTCCTTGACACTTATGAGGTGTCTTAAGTAAAGGGACCCTGTGAGGGTCTTGGCCTGGATGAATCCAGATGCAAAACAGTCGAAGCAGTCAAGCGCAGTGCCCTGGAAAGACTGCATGTCTTGCATTGGTGTGGCATCGCTTTACACCCGCCCCTCGCGTAGCCTGCCAAGCACATCTCCAGGAGCCACTGCCGGAGCCTGACAACAGCGGCTCCAGCTCAACGTGGCTCGGATGGAAGCCACTGCAGATGACCTTTGAGTCTAGAATGACGATCACCAGCTTGTGGCTTTCCACAGCCGATCACGGAAAAACAGATCATCCTAAGTTCGCTCTAGCTCTCAACAAGGATGGAACGCCTTCAAGCCGATGCGCTGCCAAAGGCCAGGGAGTTCAGAACCTTCCTTGCAAGATACCCAGTTTTCTGGAGGCCGCTGCGCAGTTGGAGCCAGAACCAAAACAGAAGGAGGTGCTGGAAGAGGCGCCGAAGCCTTCCACCTCAGTGTTGAGCGAAGAGGACAGGCCGAAGGGCTGTAAGAGCACTTATTGTAGAGTATATATCATTTCTCACTACAAACACAATAGCAACACCGTGGTTGCCGCACTCAACGCTGCAGCCTGCCCCTCATGAACCACCGCCAAGCCCCCGCCAGCGCCGCCCCAGCCACCGTCACCGCTGCCACAAATCCAGCAGGCTCCACAAACGACCACCAAAGGAGCGATTTTGCAGTTGAAAAGCAGGCATACACATCCTCTGTCGACCTGCATGTTTGTTGATTCGCAGCTCTGCAGTACTTGGCAGTGCAAAGAAATCTGCTCGAGGAATTGGCTTTGGCGAAGAGTGCTGAGGCTTGGTGGATGGACCCGGCCAGAAGGAAGAAGCCCGCTGATGCACTTGGGCAGACACAGATTTACGCGTCTCTCTTTCTTGGGGTACCAGGTCTCCAAAATACACCGGGCTTCAATCTGATGGATGCAGAGGAAGAGAAATGGAGACCATCCCCTGAAAGCAGTTAACCAACACGACCTTTGTTCATATCCTCGCAGACATGGAGGTCAACACCCAACCATGCAGTAGCGCTCCTTAGCATTGAAATGCCTCTTTTTGTCACTGGCCTTGCTTCAATCAGTACATTGTACATTGCTATAGAGTCAAGGTGGAGGCGCATCTACTGGACGATTTCCTGACAAAGGCCGCGGAGCCCCAGGAGCCTCCAGGCGACTACCTCGGAGCCTCGACTGTTCGATGGATTGTCACACATCGCGCTATCTCTACCACATAGTTGCTAATAACATCGTGAGATATGCATGCGCAATCATGCACCTGACAGTTGATACATAGATATATTATATACACGTATTTCCCGTGTGAAAAGACATCACATGTCAGCAACATGCAGACATGTACATGTCGTTGTGTCTTTTCTGCTATGCGCACTTTGAAAATCTTTTTGGTGGCTGCCCTGGTGGCCGCGGTAGTCCGCTTACTTCCCTTCATCTTTCTTGAGTGTCAGTCAGAACACGGTGATTTTTCAGATGTATTGGTGAAGGGCAGAGGGGGGAGGGCTCAGGCTCTGGACGGTGTTGCCGGGGGCTTGCAGTCAGCCAGTAAGTCCGGAAGATCCATGGTTTTCCGTTGAGACCCGATTTTGCTTTCATTTTCCAAAAATGCTCAGGTGGACAGCTGCCTGTGATGCCTCGCACGGTGGGGCTACCAACATACGCAGCCGTACCTGACAAGGCTTACTTCCCTAGTGGGGTGTCATGAGGTTACCACATATCATATTTCTTCGGACGGCCAGTGCTATGGTTGCATGTGGGTCTTTGGCATTTTGCGGCTGACCTTGCGTCAAGGGGCAGGCCTGGGATTTCAGAATTCCAGCCTGAAAGCTGCTTGACAAAGAGGGTATCAGTCAATGTCCATGTCGTGCCCAGTGGACAACGAGTCATCGCAGAGCGATTTTTGTTGATTAGTCTAAAAGTTGTGCAGAGCTACTGCGTTTCTGAGGAATGTGGGGATCTCCAGGGTTTGCAGCGGCGCAGACCACCCACCCACCAGCTGATCTGTTGCATCTCTTCAGGCGAAAAAGCTCTTCCCCGAGAAGTCTCGGAAACCAATGATCCGGCTTTATTGCTTCCCAGGAGCCGCAGACAACTACATGCCCCCCAGCTGCTTTTGGCTGCAACACTTGTTGCCGCAATTATAAGTCGCAAGCACAGAACACCTGGCACCACTTTTTTACTCCTCCAGCAGGAGGATGCGAGACGTGCGCATCAAGCCCAGGCTGTGGCTGGAGCTAGCCACGAGTGCACCCGAATGGTGCGAAGTTGCTGTTTACGCATCTTGGCTAAACGGCTAAACATGAATGCTGACATTTGACAAATGCCAAGATTGCGGCTGGGCCGCCTTCACAAGGGATACCTGGCTACCTTGAGAAGTGCAGATGGACAATTTGCCCGAAGCCAAGGAACCCCGGGCGCATGGCTTCCGGCCAGATGAAGCCTGGGACCGAAGCCTGGAAGAGAGAGCCGAGGACCCCGAAAACGATGAGAAAGCGCCTCCCAGACCTTTGGCCCTTGACTAGATGCCATAGGTAAACCCTGCTGAATTAGTCTACTCCTACCCTGGTCTTTCTCTTGGTGCCGTGGCTCTGCAAGTGGCATGCAGCCTTGGTGCCTTCAATCGGGTTGCTTAGCATCGAGTGGAAGCAGCCCTGGAGCTCCTTGCCCTGACGGTCCGCCTCTGGCAGCCGTGAGCTGATGACAGGCTTTGCATGACATAAAGAAGCCTGGCGCCTGTGCCTGGTGAGATGCGGTGAGGTGCCTTGGGTCAAGGCAGGAGTGCACATGGATGCCTGGGCGCTACGGCTACAGCTTTTAAGCAGGCTGAGCTGAATGAATAGTTCATGCGCTCACAATGGCGTGGGCCTGAAAAACCTCACTCTTCTCTACATCACACATGGTCCCTTCTATCAGCTTTCCTACAATGCCTAGTTTTGAAGGTTTGCTTGCGAAAATCGTGTCTAATGAACCCTTGACTCCACTAACCGTCAGCAAACAAAAAAAAAAAACAAATCACCAAGCCCCCAAAACAAGCAAAAGAGGATGCTTTCAATGTGATGCGTCCGGCCTTTGAGCTCCTTGGTAGAAGAAAACCTGGCTGGCGTTCAAGTTGCAATGCGACAGGGAGCAATGACAGCAGTCTCAAGTCGGCAGCAACCGGCCACAGCGAATCAGGCATCATTATACTAGAGGGACAATCAGCCATGATGAGCGCAGACCACATTGCAAAAATATGATGGCAGCGCATGTGCACTGAGGACGCATGCAAAAGGCGGGGTCTCAGAGGGTGCCCCGTTTGGCTTCCTTTCGCATGGCGTGGGCGGGCAGTTTATGGCTTTGCTTGCATACCGACTCAAGCAGGAGCGAGGCGTTGCGTTCTCTTCACACAGGAACATCTTGATCGAAACCTTCCACTAAGCATAAAACCTGCGGCAGGAACTCAATTTGGAGCCGCTGGTGGTGTTTGCCAATGATGGCCCTCCCCCGAACATACCGACGCTCTCCGACGAGGGCTACCGCATGCTGTGCCTAGGCATAACGGGAGTGGTAGCCAGCACCAACACGAACTCTAGATGTGTTGCAGCGCGTGCCTGATTCATTTCATGCAGTTGAGCTTGATGGAAGTGTCGCACTTGATCTAGCAAATAGATGCAATATGCAGTTGTTTTTGCGGCGGGCAAGGTCAGCTTCTTGAGCACAGTTTTTTCACCCTGCGGCTATTTGTATCCGTCATTGATGCAGTTCTTCGGGCTGACCAAAAACATACATTGTGTGCGCTAGGCGGCCGTTCGCCCAGAGCTCTCAAGTGCGGAACTTTGCTTGCCAAATATCAGGTGCGAGGACGTGCTGGGGTTCTACCGCCTCTTCCAGCCGGACACGATGGACCAGTACCTACGGCTGCATGTTCAAATTCGCATGCATAGGGGAGGAGCTAGCGCCACTTTCCCGCTTTTCTGAAGGCCCTCGTGCCTAGCTCCAACTCCACATGAATTATGGATGCCCAAAAGGTTTCTTGAAGAATGCCAACTTAGGGATAGGGAGGGCGAATGCCAGAACAGTGAGCATTAGCGAAAAGAATGGTTGCAGCGATTAATTCCAGGACCTTTCGGATTTTGACCCAAATCGAAAACGCAATTTTTTTGCGGACCCTGAACATGAGCTCCATTCGAAGGTTGAAGGGATAGCGTGGAGGATGCTGAGAGGGGCTCGTCACCACGAGCACATTACGTGCCTGAACCTTGTCGGAGCACCGAACTCTCCACAAGCAGTCACGGGTCTCCTAATTCTGAAGGCACCTTCCAGAAGCTGAGTGTCAAGTTTGGCATGGAAGATCATGGAAGCATTTTCGGTTTCCACTTTTGTTGCAGGTATGAGAAGATGGGTGGTGCTGGGAATCGCGCGGCTGAAGCCCTCATACAGAAGCTCAGCAGTGAGGAGAAAGGGCCGTAGAATAACCGTCCCGATAAGAAAAGCAAATGACCCGTACTTGTAGTGCCCAAGTTTTTTTTTTATGTGCAACTGAAAGTGTGTGCTTTGTTTTGCTCAGTGCCTGTAGGCCTTCAGGCAGGCAGGATGTCATATCGGGAGCAGCGGTACTTTGCCATAAAACTGTGGAGCCAAACTGCTATTTACAATCTATGCGCTGCTGATTTGATTGAGGATGAGGAATTGCCATCAAACAACTCACCCTGATCTTCAGTCCTTCCTGTGCCCTAGCTGAGGAAGTGGTCCCGAGGCCTGCGCCTCTTTGAGGAGCATGCCAGACGGACTGTAGCAAGAGGAGAGGAAGCACTGCAGCTCGGCAAACAGTAGCAGGACCATCTGTAGCCTCATTAGGACTTATGTTGCAACTTTTGCTTTTTATGTTTGACTGCAGGTGTGAGGGGATTACACTTATGAACATTATTTTGTGTTGGGTTGATCAGGTTTGTGCCTTCATCGCATTTCATCGCTATGCAGGATGATATGCGGATTGTATCACCAAAGGGCGCACTTCTACGAGACATGTGCCGGATGAGCCTGAATCACATTTTTGCATGTTCTTTCACTTGCTGATAGGTCAGTGATGATAGCAAGAGATCCTGAGGTACCATAAGTTCAACTGCGACTTGCACGTGCTGGTTGCCAAGCACACTGTGGTGCCTGAGCCAGCATGAGGTTTTTTGCCACATCTTCCTCTTGGTGGTTCCCTTTGCATTTTTGCCACTCCTCAATAAACATGGCACCCAACATGGCATGTAAACAAGGTCAAGCGAGCGTTAACAAACGTGGGCAAAACCACTATTTAATGTGGACTTTGTCGCACGTCTTCCAATGTTCGTAGATTCAAAGGGATTGAGTTTTCTGAGTATGTTATGCTTTGGGTACCGTATAACACTCTTCCCGGAAAAAAGCAGTTCGCTTCACGACTGACAGTGCTGTCAACATGTCACGATTCTAAGGCCCGCATTTTGAGTGACAGGGTGTTCTCAAACACGAGTCAGTTCATTTGCTGGTTCTGTTGATGTCGGCATCGCCGCGGATTGTGCTTCAGATGCGTGCTAGCGACACTTTAAGGTTTCAATTGCATGCAAATTTTCTGCTTAAGAACATATGAAAGGCAGCTGCTGAACGTATGCTGGTGCTTTAAGCATGTTAAAATCTTAGCAGCCGAATCTCGAGCCTTAGCCTATGTTAGCTTATTCTCAAACACGAGTCGGTTCATTTGCTGATTCTGTTGAATGTTGGCATTGTGCGGAGCATGTCACCTGTAAACTTAACCGCGGATGCAATTATCCTCTCACCTCCCCGTCCCTCCTCCCACTTCCCCCAGACCGACTAAAGTAACTGAAGTGGCTTAAGTGCTTGAGATCCTCAAACATGCAGTAAGGTTTGCATTTGGCCCAAGGCGGCTAACGCTAACATGAGCGCGTACGCTTTTTTCTCAGGACACGGACCTCTTGTTTGCTGAGCTGAAGGGCCCTCAACGGGACTACTGGGAACGGCGTTGCTCGCTCGGTGCATGCTTGTGCAATGAGCCAGTCTGGGTCGGGTAACCAACTTCTAAGGCAAGAAGATCACCGGATCCAATGCAGAGTCTGGATGCAACTGGGACAGGGATGCTTTCAAGGCGTGGGAACCTTGGACGACAGAGGACTTCCATTACCACGAGGTCGGCAGCGCTTTATTTGGACCCCATTCTGGATAGCACTGCATCCCAGTCACCGTACTGAATCTGCAAACTCACTACCGCTCGCAAGGCACACGGATGTGCTTGTGCTGCACTGTCCTCACATTCATAGAATGCCAGGTTGAGACTGACCACATGACCATTAAGAACTCACCGCTCATGCGGCAGATTGTGCTCCTTGGCCTATGCATGATACAGCTTGTATTTTGTTTCTTTCTTGGAGCCACGCCCTTGCCACTGTAAGGTTCAAGGAATTGGGGGGCTTCTGTGGCATGGATTATTGATGATGTACAAAACAAGTTGCTGCTGATGTGCACAGACTGTTGGATTTTGGCCAAGATGGACAGAGGCTTTTGCACTTGAACGCACGTCCGACTTGCATCCGTTGTGCGTGAAATATTTTGTGAAATCATTGAACGGCTCGAGGCTATGACGAGCATAGGTCAAGCAACAAAACCCAACCGGCCATTCAGGTAACATCTCATGTTGCACCACTGCAAACACTGCTGCATTCCGAAGAATTGTTATAGTTCAGTAGGAACACAGGCTTGGACGATAGTTGCCATGGCACGCACAAAGCCCAAACCCAAGCCGAAAGCGGCCCAGAAGACAGACGTACAAGCTGAAACAAATCCATACGACAGCTGCTTGGTGTTGCCTCCATCTCTTGGTAATGGCATAAGTTTTCTCTTTTTATGTTGATGCTGTGGTTTTCCGTCGTGAGCTGTACTATCTGTGCATTCGTGGAGGCTTTCAGAACAAGCGACGGCGCCATGCAGTGCTGAACGAAAGGGTCAAAGGTGAGAGGCGGAATATTGCTCGCTCACGGGCCTCTGCTACTGCAGACCGCACTCACCAGCTGCTCAAGGAGCAGTGAGCCTGTAACTTGCCTGCCTTAAAGGGAAGAGAAAGAAAAAACCGCAAATCCTTTGCCAGGAGAAGCTGGTGTCTGGCAGGAGTTCCAAGTTCCGGGACGCGCGGCTCGGGGAGGGGAACAGTGTGCAGCGCTTGGTGCGGCTGCGACAACGAGAAGCCAAGAGAAGCTTCAACCTGGGACAAGAGGAGGACTTGAAAATTAAGGGCCGACCTCTGTCCTCATTGGCAGACTCTGACCTGCGGCAGGGTACAGTGGGCAGTGATGAGGAAGCTCCAGACAACGTGGATGACATCGTGGCCATGGGCCGTGCGAGGAAGGAGGAGGTGGCGCGAGAGCGCGAGCAGCACGAGCGCCAAAGAGGTGACTTAGACAAGGACTTCTCCAACATCATGGAGGAGCTCAGCTTCAACCTGCCGAAGGCCCAGCGGGTGCTGCAGAGGGCGGAGCCCGACAGCTATGATAAGCTGCTAAGGGAGTTGGCCTTCGACAGGAAGGCAGTGGCCACTGAGCGGACCAAAACACCAGAAGAGCTCGCTCGCGAAAAGGCTGAGAAGCTGGAAGCGTTGGAGCGCAAGCGATTGGCTCGTGCAGACGGCCTTGCCGAAGATGTCGATGTAGATGAAGACAGTGATGGAGACCTCCAGAAGGTGGCGGAGGCAGCTGGTGGAGGTGAGGAAGAGGAAGCAGAGGAGGAGGAAGACAACGAGGAGGATGAGGAACTCGAGGACCAAGCTGAGGAGGCCCAAGCAGCTGAAGAGGCTCAGGAGGAAGAGGAAGATGAAGGAGGTGTGGATGAAGATGATAAGCTTGGGGAAGACTGCATCAAGCTTATGACTGATACAGATGCTGAAAAGGTTTACCGCAATGTCATGAAGAACGGCAAGGGAGAGGAGAAGTTGCCCTTCGCGCCAGAGTGCCCACAGGATCGCCTGTCAGTGGAGCGATTGTTGCAAAGTCATACCCCTGCAACAGCCCTGAAGCTGGTGCAGCGTGTTTTGGTTGCTTTAAGCCAGTACAGCCAGTACAGCAAGTACAGAACTAAGCGCCCCCTGTTATTGAATAAGGGCAGCTTGTAGCATTGCAACAGCTAGATCAGCCAAGGTGTCCGCACGCGTACATCAGTAGCGCTGTCGCCCGAGAATCGGGGAAAACTGAAGGCTTTCCTGCTGGCCTTGCTGGACTATGCCATCAATGCCATATCGCGCAGCGACGGTGATGTAAGTTCGCGGGGTATGATGGTAGTACATGCGCTGCGTCGACCCATCCTGGAGCTTGCTGGTGATCATCCCCAGGAGGTCACCGACTACTTCGTGGAGCTTCTGAAGGTTTTAGGCCCCGAATCGGCCCCAAAAGCCCGTGAGCTTGCGGCCTTAAAGCTGGTGCCTTTGCTGTTTCCCGTCACCGACTTCCAGCACCCTGTGGTCACACCTGCGACCCTGCTGGCCGACCACTGGGCATCACAGCTCGCCAGGCTCGGTGCTGACATCCAAGATCTTGTGTCCGAAGGATCTATGCTACTTGACCTGACCACCTGACCGGAAGGAGGAACACCATCCAGAGCACGAGATTATAAATTAGAAGCCCTACGCCCTGATCAGAAACCGTTGCTCAGGCTTCTATGCATCCTCTACGAGTTGCTGAGCCCCAGTGGCAAGTTCTGCAGCTCCTTTTTCCAGCTGGGGGCCGCGCTCCTGGAGTCTTGTGCGGCCTCGGCTGCTTCGGGCCGGCAGCAACTGGATTGCAGGTTAGTGATTCGTTCGCTTCAAGGATTTTTAAAGGGAGTACAGTATGTAGAGTATGGACTTGGGAGTCTGGGGCTTTGATGTGTAAAGGCTGCATTTGCGCCTGATCCATACGTTTTCGCTTAGTAGTTCTCACAGTGCTTTTACTGGCAAAGTTTTTTTGAAGTAGCCAAGGGCCAGGCCTCCCAGAGCCTTCCATTATCAGAAGCAAGACGCAGTGGTAGTATTAGCTAGAGCATTAGCAGCAGGAAGTGAAGCAATCGGAGTATTACTGGAAGTGGTGACTTGTGTTAAGTCATAAGCCTCCACCCCAAGGATGGATCTAAAAAATATCGGTGTCACACGTCAGGAAGTATGGTCCAAGATTCAGATCGCAGCTGAAACCGCCCCCTTGACGAAGACATCTCTACCCGGTCATTGCCAGGCAAACGGCTGCTGCTGCTGAGGACTTATCGTCCCTCTTGGCTCGAGGACTTGAACGAACTGCAGAACAGGCGGGGGAGGTGCAACAGCAAATGGCAACAGCAATCACATATGAAATTCATCGATTAGCTGGATTCATGACAGATCTAGCAAACTGCTACAAGTATAGTCATAGCCATCACCTTCATAAACTGAGCCAGCATTGGAATCGCAATGCTAGTTTCATAGGTAGACATTTATGACTGAGGCGCCCGCCTCAGCGGCAGTGCTTTTCCAGGAGGTGGGTAGTTCGCAAAATCAGGGTCCCATTGTGGTACCCCTAACTATCAGGTGCCGCAATATAACATATACCCATAAGGGCCCATAATTTGACAACCACACCCCTAAACCAAAAGAAACTCTAAACCTTAAACCCCCATAATTTGGAGAACAACCCAGGTGCTGCGACCAGCGATGGCGCGGATTACCGGAGAGGGCAGGGCCAAGCTCAAGGGAGCACTGCAGAGCTTGGAGGCCCCTGGCAGTAACCCATAGTAATAATAGGTTTAGGTTTTAGGGTCGCAAGTAGTAATAACAGCAGTAAAAAGATTACAGTAGTAATACAGTAGCAGTAATAGTAGTAATCCCACCAAAAGAGAGCATGCACCTATGCGTCAGGCCATTCGATTTTCGTGCTATAGGTCGTTTGGCCATGGGAGTGTGAAGCTCCAGAAGACTTTAGGACTGCTTATGCGAGTTAGGCCAGTTAGGTAGCGTGTCAGCTCGAATTACGGCACTCCGGCTTGAAAATTTGACGTGCTTCTTCGAATGCTGGGAGGCTGTCTCCAAGTCTTTGGCTTTGCAGGGCTGCAAGCCGTTGCGGCTGTTCGAGACAGGTGCAGTGCAGATCAAGATGTTGGATCCCATTTTCCACGAGGAGGGCGACCGGCCACTCAAGCGAGGAATGGAGGCCTCAGCCACCAAACAGCTGCAGCGAAAGCTGAACCAAGAGCGCCGTGCAGCAGCCCGTCAGTTGGCACGCGATGCAGCAGTGGTACAGCAGCTACAGGGCCAGAAACAAGAGCAACGACGGAAGGCCGGACTGCAGGAGCGGAAGCGAGTCCGTCAGCTGATGGAGGTGGAAAAGCAGGAGCTCAAGCAGATGGCCACGGAGTTTGACAAGAGCATGAACACCATGTTCGGGAGCTACTCCAAGACCAAGGAGCGAAAGAAGGCAAACAGGCGCATCAGGGTTCAGCTTTGATCGATCAAATGATTTGCAGGTGTTCGCCTGATGCGGCTCGGAATGTCCCTGATCCGTTAGCTGGGGAAGCTACCAAGTATGGCATGTGACCAAATTGATGTTGGCCCAAAAGCAGGTTCACAAAGTTTGGTTGAGCTTCCAGTGTCCAGTGTCAAAAAACGAAACATGCGCATTTGTGGACGACGTGTGCCAATCCTGCAGCCCTGTCAGGCGTATGGCTGGCAACGCCACGGCTGAGAATCCCAAGGAAGCCAAGGCAAAAGCCAAGGCCAAGGCAGACTCCAAAGGAGAAGCCACAGGCGAAGGTCCAAAGAAGGCCAAACGCTCAAGCGGTGGCAAGAAGTCCAAGTTCAAGCGGTGATCTTAACCACTGTCAGGTGGTGTTTTGACCCCAGGCATGTGGCGGTGACGAAAAAGGGCTAGGCCGCAGTCCAGCATTGCGGATGCTGCCCGCGGAAAGGCGTCTAAATCCTTATCAGATTCGGTGCTGGCCCAGAAGGCTCTCTTAATTTGGGGCCTTTGTGAATGGACATACCAACCTTCTGATATCAGTGACAGCTTGACCTGCATTAGGTGCAGAATCTGAGATGGTCAGACAAGGGAAACGTTCTGCCTTTAGACCCGGAAGCCAAACTTAGCGTCGGAAAGCAGAGACCTCTGACATGGAGTTGCCATGTTCGCGCTGATACTATTCTACCGAACACAGCCGCTTGGACGAGGTAGATCACAGTTCGACCGTCCCCATCATAGCGTGAGGAAATGCAGCGACTCACAGTGACTCACCTTCTAACCCTCATGTTGCACGTCCCATGAAGGTGGCACAAGTCTGTGGGCCTGTACCCTCATGCCCCTAAGCCGCGACCCGTCTTCAACTTGTACCGGCTACCCCACACCATGAAAGTGGCAACACCCGGTTTGGACGCTGAGCCCCAAATCTTAGTCCTAGACCCAAGACCTAAAGCCCACTGCCTGAACCCTGGATCCTGCTGTTAAATAAGCTATTAAGTACTTGCCCCAAACAATTATGGAAGCGCACGGGTGCATTCTTCATCTTTGTTCTACATAAGCTCCGGTAGGTTTATTGCGGGCGTGACGGATGATCCCGCACATCCTGAAGTAGCCTCCGACTGATTCCAGCCATGAAGCGGTCCGTCCCTTCCATTCTCGCCTCTGCGGCCAAAGTCGCACGTGCAGAGGCGCCTGGATGCGGGTGGCCACCTGGGCTTCTAACGCCCAAGCTGGAAGACGCTTTTCGACCTTGTAACACGTACAGTCAACTTTCTATGCTGATGCTTATGCTGTCAAAGCTAGTAACATGTTTTTCGTCTAGTGGTTCTAAAGCACGACCCCTTCGAGTGAATGCTATACTGCTGTACATGCTTCAACCTCTACTTAACAATTCCTGGAAGCCATATCAAAGGTGTGCACAATCGCCATGGAATCCCTTTAGGGCAAGCATTCGACAGTACAGTCACCAAACAAGGCCTTAAGGCAATCCTCGCTGGATTTTCAGACTGACCAACCCAACTGTTCCTGTCATGTCCTGTCCAGCTGGGAGGCCAGGCTCCTTGCGCCGCGGCCACGAGAGCATGCACAGCCCCTGGAGATGAGGACAAAGACTTTGAAACTGCTTCAGGTATGCCAGGGTTTTAAGGGTCTGTGGCCTAGAGTTGAGGACTTGATTTTCAATGCTTTGGAACGGATGCTCTCTAGCCGCCGCCGCCGCCGCATGTTGCCAACAGTTGCTATCCCAGTAGACGGACCCACGCGCTCCCCCGCCTCCAGCACTTTGAGGCAAGTGCGAGCTTCATTCATGGATTGCAGGACAGAGACCATCTGCCATCATGTGGAAGTGGAGGTGAGCAGGTGCCCCAAAGAACAGCCTGCCGATGCTGAACCTTCCTCAGAGCCTTGCGCCCAGCAACCGAATTTCCATAGTCTTAGTGAACTTACACTTGCAATGACAGTGCCAATGATGATGTGCACGGCTTTGCTACACCACGTCTGATTCCAGGGGCTACCCGAGGCCTGAAATCCAAACAGAGACCGCTCCGCAATCAGCTCATCCCGGCCGGCATTGCCCAGAGATGGACAGCGCGCCGCTTGCTCCAATACTTTTTCGCTCAGTCCGACAGCAAAGAGCCTTTTGCAGCAATGCCCGGCTGATGCTCACGATGCCAGCATACTTGGCTGCTGTTTGGAAAAAAACCTAGCCCAGCTGATGCTCATGATGCTGGCCTGCGTTGCCGTCCCCAGCGAAGGCAGACCCAGCTGATGCTCATGATGCTGGCCTGCTTGGCGATCCCTAGGAAAAACCAAGCCCAGCTGATGCTCACGATGCTGGCCTGCTTGGCCATCCCTTGGAAAAACCAAGCCCAGCTGATGCTCATGATGCTGGCCTGCTTGGCGGTCCCGGGGAAAAACCAAGCCCAGCTGATGCTCATGATGCATTGCCGTCCCCGGCGAAAGCAAGCCCAGCTTGGTTTTCCCAGGGATGGCCAAGCAGGCCAGCATCATGAGCATCAGCTGGGCTTGGTTTTTCCCAGGGACCGCCAAGCAGGCCAGCATCATGAGCATCAGCTGGGCTTGGCTTTTCCCAGGGACAGCCTAGCAGGCCAGCATCATGAGCATCAGCTGGGCTTGGCTTTTTCCCGGCATCCTGAGCATCAGCTGGGCGGCGTTTTTTCCCAGGGACGGCCG